CCATTCCCCACTGGCATCATTGGATTTAACTTCTGAGATGAAAGCAGCAGATTTAACAGGGGTCCTTAAAGGAAGCAGCTGCCGGAACTGGAACAGATTTCCTTCCTCCCAGCGGGCAATAATGTGCTAGGAAATCTGTCTTAGGAATTCTGTCAATTTTCTTCTGTGTCTTAAAAGCCACCCAAAGAGAGCTAATAGATTCACCTCTGACCATGACCTTTCTTCTGAATCGCCCAGGTATTTTTTTTCTTCCATCAGTAAAACCTAGCGTGGCAGCTGCAAAAGCAAATGTACCCATGAATTATATATGCCCTGCTGCCTTCCCAAAAAAGAGAGCCACCTGGGGAACTGATGCCCGAGGGATTCTCCTAATCAGTGTCTACCAGAGAGGAGGCCAAAGGATAAGGTTTGGGTAGGCTCATTTTTTAAATTATCGAATTGCTACTCCCCTAAAGGGCTAGTCTATTTCACAGCAGTGAGAGAACCAGGCAGCAGCCTTCCTCAGTATAGATTCCCACCACTCAAGGCTCCACTCACTCAAAAAAGGGTCTTTGATTATACACCTGCCAATAATTCCTGAATGGCAACACCGCAGCAAATTAGGAACTAGCATTCACACCAAACATTACTTTTCATGCTGCAGCATGCAAAAAAAATTATCAGCCTCCAGGTCAATCAACCTCATGATCCTGAAAAACTTGGAGACCCAGCTCCTTTATATTGGAACTAGAGGCCTGGTGCATGGATTCATGCACGGCAGGGGGGGTCCCTCAGCCTGGCCTGCACCCTTTCTCAATCTGGGACCCCTCAGGAGGTATCCGACTGCTGGTTTAGGCCAAACCCCCGGGCCTAAACCAGCAGTCGGACATCCCTTGAGGGATGTAGCACTGCGCCAAGCAGCAGGCGGCCAGGAAGGAGCCTGAGTCGGGGCCTGGTGCCACACTGCTCACGCTCATCCCTGCCCACTGCACCTGCCGCCGCCACTCAGTAGTGCTGCTGCAGAGTAGGGAGAGGCTCCCGCTGCCGCAGCTGCGCTCACTAGCCATGAGCCCAGCTTCTGGCTGAGCGGCACTCCCCCTGTGGGAGCACACTGACACCAGGGGGCAGCTCATGCATTGAGCATCTGCCCTCTGGTGGTCAATGGGCATCATAGTGACTGGTCAACTGGTCGTTCCAGTCATTCTGGTCGTTTGGTCGTAATGGTCGCTTAGGCTTTTATATAGAGAGATTGCTTTCTTCAATATGGTAGCTACCAGCCACATGTGGTACTATTGAGCGCTAGAAATATGGAGTCTGAGTTGAGGCACGTTAAAATATCCACTGACATCAAGGACTCAGTAAGAAATAAAGAATGTAAAATATCTCTTTAATTTTTACTTAGCAAATATTTAAAGAATATTTAAGACATACTGAGTTAAAGAACATGTCTTACTAAAAGTAATTGGGCCTGTTTCTTTTAACTTATTAAACTGTAGCAAGTATACATTTAAATTTTAAAATTACACACATGGCTTCTATTTGTGCTTTACATTATATCGGACAGGGCTGCATGATAGTTACTAGTTTCCAATGCCACTTGTCTGAGGTTACAGAGACGTGACATCAAGGTTAAGTGCAATGTCCTTTTAAGTCCCAGCACCTCTGGTTTCATCTTGAGTGCAGGCCATGAAGCTGCTAGCTTTCCTTGCTTTTGTTTCTCTTCCCCCACCCCTGAGTAGTTTCCGTTTCAAAGATAATCAATTAATAGGAGACAAGGAATTAATTGTATCTCGAGCCACTCTCCTTTCCGTTCTTTCACCCTCGTTCCTTTCAGTTTTATTTTACTGATCACCCATCTACCAACTCAACAAGGTATGAGACTGTGTCACTCATATTCTGATAGGAAGACTCATCCTCAGTTATTTTCCACAGAGCTTCTGCTACCTCAAACCCAGGGTGGATCAGTATCACATTCTCATCAGAATTCCCTCCCAACCTTTGGAGCCTGCAATGATCTGAGAGCCAGGTCAGCTTCTGTACCCACTGCTGAAATTTGGGGGTCTAATTGTCAAGCAGGCCCTTTATTCAGTCCTACAGGGGCATGTGGGGCAAGCCTCCCATCAGACACAGCATCTTCCTCAAAGTGGGAGGCTTGGCAGGTACTCAAGAGCAAGACTCTTTTGCCCCTCACCCACATGACATGTAGATACAACTGCCACAGACAACAATCAAGGCGTGTGGCTGTGGTCACCTTGACACAGAGAAGCCACAGCCTTTATTTCCCACCAAGCCTATATACCGTCTGGTCACGTAGGCCCCTGCACGGCCTCCCGAGAGCAGGTGCCTCCTTCACTGCGGATGAAGCAAACCATATTCCCCATTTAGCTGAACTCTATTGTTCTCAAGGAAGTGATGCTGGAAGAGCCAGAAGTCCCTCTCAGCAGTCCTGAGACAGCCCCCGGCTGGCATTAACCCTTTACTCATAATCAGTTATGTGAAAAGATATGGTTGAGAAAAATACAGTTGTTCACTAAATATGGTCAATCTTAAATGACTATTTCTGTTGTGAGGTATGGGGGTCTCCAAAGGTTCGAAAATATGGTTAGAACAGATGGTTAAAAAAGTAGTAATTAAAGCAGGTGGTTAAAATGTACAAACTTCCAGTTATAAGATAAAAAAAACATTAGGCATGTAACATACAACATGATGACCATAGCTAACACTGGTGTATGATATATAAGAAAGTGGTTAAGAGAGTAGATCCTAAGAATTTTCCTCACAAGCAGAATTTTTTTTCTTATTTTATCTATAAGAGATAATGGATGTTAAGTAAACCTATTGTAGTCATTTCACAATATATGTAAGTCAAACCATCAGGTTGTACACCTTAAACTTATACAGTGATATACATCAATTATCCTATCTAATAAAGAGGGAATATGCAAATTGACCATCATGTTGTCACAAAGATGGTGGTGCCCATAGCCACAAGATGGCAGCGCCCAGTCCCCTCAGCCCCACTGGAGTCCCACAGTCCTTTCAGCCCAGCTGGGGGGAGGGGGGGGGATGGCAGGTGCACGGTGCAGCCGGACCCATCCTCAGCCCCCCAGCTGCCTAGGGCTGCCCCGAGGCACAGGCAAGCCTTGGATATCGGCTGCCCAGCCACCCAGGGCTGGCCCAAGGCATAGGCAAGCCTCAGATTTTGGCTGCTCAGCCACCTAGAACCAGTCCGAGGCACAGGTAAGCCTCGGATGTTGGCCACCCAGCCACCCAGGGCCACCCAAGGCTCAGGTAACCAGGGCTGGCTGAGGCTTGCTCTGCCGGCAGTGGCAGCAGGAGAGGTGTGATGGGGCATCGCCTTCCCCTGATCGCCAGGTTGCCTCCTGCCCCTGAGGGCTCCCAGACTGTGAGAGGGGGCAGGCCTGGCTGAGAGACCCCCCTCCAGTGCATGAATTTTCATGCACCAGGCCTCTAGTTTCTCAATAAAACTAGAAAAAAGGGTAGTCAATAGATACTACTTTACTAAGCACAGATGCTATAATCCTAAAATCTTAGCATTTTTGTAATCAAAAATTCAAAGCAAACAATAATATAGCCTTAAAATCTCCATGGAAATAAAAAAATTGCTAGCACAAATGAACATTCTTATGAAGACTACTAAAAATCAAGTTCCATTTTTTGCAGGATTACAGCAGTAATTACATGGGAATTGGATCATCAGCTTTTATGTCATACTGGTTTCCTCAAAATTTAATTACTTATATATCTTCAGTTGAGATATTTTCCAATAATTATATGTTTTTGCTTTCAGATGGAATTGCTTTCATAATTCACCAGAAACCTATTTTATAATTATTACATCAACTTTGATCATCTTCTCATTTTTAGAATCCATCTTAATTTTTATTTGTTACTTTTATATTTTGTAATACACTATTCATTGACCTTCTACTTTCAAAACTCAAAATATTTTTCAAGAGTTTGAGTACTTAGTTACTTTTATCTCTTGTATTACCATAAAAATTACTTCTATAAGAGGCAAGCTATAATAAATTTGTAAAATGTCACCTTTTAACTTCCAATTTTAGTGCAAGAAATTCAATTAATTGGCAACCATCTACTGTTACAATCTAAATAAATTTGTCAAATTAAATTACTCATTAATGAACTTTATTATAAATCAGTAAGTGCTATATTTTCCTATCATGAACACTATTGATTTATTATAGTTTTATTAATAATTTTTCCCTTAAATTTATATTTTTCTTTCATGTATATGCATAGGGAATTCTCTTCAATTTATAGCATTTAAGAGAAAAGTAACAATAATTTTTAGAACATAATAATTCATAATTTTTCTTAACATGAAATAAACTTTTGCCAAATTTCATTCATAATTTAAACTAAATCAATGCACTTGAAAAGCAATTGTATGTAAACCAGAATAGGGGACTATCTTATAGTCTCCCAAATGGGTTAGTATAAAACATACAAGTAGCATTGAGGATAACAAAAATCAACCAGAGTTATTGAGCTAAACTGTATTTTGAAACAAACTAACATAAAAGTGTAGGAAATAAACATTAAAATATTTGCCTCCATGAAAAATAAAAATTCAGTCAATGATCCTGGTACATATCTGACATCATATTTACCCATTTAGACACATAATGTAAAAAATATTTAGTCTGTGAATATATATGACATAATATCCAATAGATTTTTTCTTGCTCAATTTATTTAGATATTCTAGCAATATATACACAATACCAGAATTGTTACTTTTCCATTCAAACATATAATTTGAGAGTTTTATATTTCTTAATGGACACATCTCTGTGATGCACATTCAATCAATAAAACTTGAGTGGGGAATAATGCAACTCATTCTTATAGGCTTGTCTTTTCATTGTAATAATGTTAGCATTTATCATGATAAAGCTTAAGTTGTGATTCCGAATTGCTGTTAATTATGCTGTGTTTCATGACTAAAGTGTTTTCCTATGTTTTTCTGATGGCAGGATGATGAGGTAAGGGAAAGTCGATTCAGCTTCACTGCCTATGGCATGGGACCGTGTCTGCAAGCAAAAGAGAGTGTGACCCCCAAGGGCCCAAACCGTCCTGTCCAGGTAATGCCAGAAAGCCCTGATGAAATGAGGAAGATCTTCATCGACCGGGCCAAGAAGATTGACACCATCTCCCGAGCCTGCTTCCCATTAGCCTTTTTGATTTTTAATATTTTCTACTGGGTTATCTATAAAATTCTTAGGCATGAGGATATACATCAGCAATGAGATTAAGTCTCCAGGGTCATGCAAGTGCAAACAGTCAATTCAAAAGAAAGTGTGTGTGTGTGTGTGTGTGTGTGTGTGTGTGTTGTACAAATGATTACCATTGTATTAAAATGCATAGAGGAAGGGATTATTATGATTTGCTATGCAAAGTCATTGAGGCAAGTTAAGATTCTTTTAATGGATACCAAATATATATTTATGTATTATAGACATTCTATATCATATTGATTTATCTGCTCTTTCATAGTAAATCACGTAAGTGGAAGTATCACTGCCAATGTGTTTGTATGTTATATAATGTCACATAATAGCACATGTGAAAACTACTTTGGATTTCTTGATTTTTAATTTCATAATAATCTTACAAAGTAAAATTTTCACAGTGAACTTTATACAAAGAGAAAAGGGAAATGTTGAAGATAAATTAGTAGCTTGAGGCTTTAAAATATTTTCTTATACTGTAGTTACAGATAGAAAGATAATAAGTTAATTCAATGGAAAACTTGTTTGATAGTAATAGAAAATTGTACATACAAATACTATCAGACCAACTTATGTAATAACAAAAAAATCAAATTAGAAGATTAAAATAAAGAAATTTTATTACTTAGATAATAGCTTTACTTGTTTAGAATATTAAATTTTGCTCTTTGGAAATTCAAAACGAATGGCTTAAGAGATAACATTCTATAAATATCTACTTTTCTTAACTTTATATGTCTATGAATGAAAGTGAAAATACTGAAAACAGCGTTGTTGTGTTTAAATAAGTGTTTTAGCTATGTATCTATGTGTTTTTAATTATTGACAAACACTGAAAAATTCAAGCCAGTACCCTTGTTTTGTTAGATTTTTAATAGCTGCTTAATTGTCTGTATGTAATTATGTTTAATGTTTTGATATAATTGAACACAGTTCAGTAAGATTTTTACATTTTAACTTAGAATGAGACTTTAAAATTCAATGGTATTATACTATTTACATTTTGATAAAAATGAATTTAATGAACACAAAATTGGATTTATGAGAGATTTTTAATAATAAAAGTTTTCCCATCAAAGTTATATGATTTCAAACTCCTAGCTCCAAATCTAAGGAGGGGAGATTTTAATCCTAAATTATAAAAATAAGTTATTTCTATAAAGTGAGGATTGACAGTTTTTATAATTGTGAATCAATGATTTTAATATATAAGCCATTCACTAGATGTGAATAATTTTGAATAAAATTTTTACCTAAAATTTATCAGCAACCCCATGGAATTATTTCAACTACAATGGGGCATTAACTCATTTTGTGCAGTGGAATTAAGTGCAACTATGTAACAGAGTTCTTGGTTAAAATGAACCAGTCTCTGTTTCTTTTCCCATTTTGCTCTATTTGTATTATTTTACCAATACTGTATTTTTAAAGAGCCCTGAAATGCTTCTTAGATATGCATGATTATTGGTCAGATTCACTAAATGGAAATTCAGTGTGCCAAATTACTAACAGAGGAAGGTTTAAACATTAAAAAAACGATGAACTCAAAATCTTGAGGTAAAAACAGGCCAGTTGTGAACCAGGTGGCAATCTTTTCTGACCTTTAACCATCTCAAACTAAAAGTAAAAACTGCCATTGAAAGCTAAAAATTTCTCAATGTTTTTGAACTCTGGTCTATCCACTTCTAAGTTTTAAAAATAACTTTTAAAAACTAATGTATGTCAACAATTTTTGCAACTAAAAGGCCAAATTCCCCTTGTTTATAAAAACATGTCTAGATCTTTTCAAACTAGAAAAGTACCTTATAATTAGCATCCTGAAGTAGTATGTGCCTGGACAATTCCTGTGTCAAACCCTAATATTTCAAATTAAGCCAATGAGAAAACTATTAGTATTGAGAAAATAAAATGTGTGCATATATACTAATTACCCACACATAAGTTGCACATCTAATATGGATATTCTGAAATATTTTTATCTTTTCTTAAATATATTTTTATTTATTTCAGAGAGGAAGGAAGAGGGAGAGAGAGATAGAAACATCAATAATGAGAGAGAATCATTGAATGATTGCCTCCTGAATGCCCCCCAATGGAGATTGAGCCCACAACGCAGGCATGTGCCCTGACTGGAAATCCAACCGTGACCTCCTGGTTCATAGGTCAACGCTCAACCACTGAGCCATGCTGATCAGGCTGAAGTATTTTTAAATAGTCACATTAGAAAATTTGTAATTTTTGTATAGTACATGAAGTTTATTTCACTTTTTAAAATAATTATATATCTCAACCATTGAAATATATGGTTCCATAGTCTATGAATTTTTAGGAAACCTTATACCTTAGTATATATATGACATTGTTCTCTGTCTCTCCCAAACATTAGAATTGGAGTTCAACTATAGTAAGGACCTAGAACTTCTTGTTATTACTTAAAATAGATTCCAGAAAGAATCTGTGGAAGCAAGAAAGCCAGAATCTTTTCACTTTTTTATTTCTTTTTAAATATATATTTTTATTGATTTCAGAGAGGATGGGAGAGGGAGAGATGGAAACATCAATGATGAGAGAGAATCATTGATTGGCTGCCTCCTGCACACCCCCTACTGGGGATCGCCTGCAACTCAGGCATGTGCCTTGACTGGGAATCGGACCTGGGACCCTGAATCCACAGGCCGATGCTCTATCCACTGAGCCAAACCAGATAGGGCAGCCAGAGTCTTTAAAACTTCTTCAACCTTTCTGGATGTTTTTCATAATAATAACTCACCTGGAGAGCCCATCCACCTCCTAGCTCCTGGATTTAAGAAATCATTATGACTGTTCCATTATCAATTTTTAGTCCTGTTCTGTGAATATATTCTAATAATCTTTATCTGAATTTTAAATTATAATTTTTGAATTATAAATTTTGCTTTAAAATCTAGATAGCCCTAAAATATGAATACATATTTTGGGTTTATGAAATTCTAAGATCTTATGGAAGATAATGGAAATTTTAGAAAAATAAAATGAAAAAATAAACCAACATGTTTCACAGAAGAAAGCAGGTGGTTAACTACTCTACCACTCTGTGCTATGTAAGTAGTTATGATTTTAAGAGAAAAATAAGGCTTTCATGCTATCATCTTTTTAAAAATATACTTTTCTGTTCTTAACACAATAGACCTCAACCTGCTAGTCACTTTGGAGAACTGAGTATTATATTGATAGCTCACTTTTCCTTTCATCTATAAAGTACACAGCACACATTCCATGAAGTAGATTCAAGGGATTATGGGATTGGCCCATATTAAAAATGGAAAATACTCTCAATACTGCAAGTAAGAAATTGGCAACAGTTAAATTTGCAGGAGTGTCCCCTAACAACTGAGAGAAGCACTCTAAGAAGGAAACAGAATGAAAACATGCTGGAGTCCTAGATCAATCAACCATTAACCACCTTGAAGGTCATATCTCCTACTCCAAAATAGATTCTACATACTTTGCAACACAGATAATAAAGCCAAAGCTTTCAAAATTTATCAGCATACATCACCTGTATTTCTCATCTAGTTTATGGTGAACTAGTAAAAAAAAAAAAAAGCAACCATTCCAAGTATACAACAAAAACTTACATACAGCCTGTCAGTATTTATTAATGCTGACAAGGCAAAGACTACAGAATAATGGACTTGATTAAAACACATTAAGAGAATAAGTATGGTTTCCGCCAAGACATTTTCATTTTAACAGTGTATTTAAGGCAAATATAATCAATGGAAATATAACCTATATTAGTCAGACATGGACTTACTGACTCAGAGAATTTTTGCATCTTTATCATTGCAAGTTTGTCTTTTGAATTGTACCCACCTATTAAGCACAGTTCTGATAGCCACATCTTGCTTGTTAATTTGGGTATTCAGTTTTTGAAGTAGATTATTTTATTGCCTGTGTTTGACTTCTGGATTGAGTTACATGCTATTAGAGAGGTATTGAAACTTTTGGCACCATTAGCTCTGACAGACTATAAACTTAACTTGCATTGTCAGTTGCTGACTTCATGTGCATTTCAGAGAAGAATTTAGTTGCAAAATTGGCACAATTCTTTTTGAGTGGCAAATTTCGATGTCTCTTAAAAATGTACCCAAAATTGTCTGTTCTGCTCAAGAAATATTAAAGGAGTTTCTAGTGCAGTTTTCAAACTATTTTGACAAGATCACTTTCTGTAGCTGAACCTGTCTGCATAACGAGCAATGGGAAGGTCCAGCCATAAAGATTAGAATTCTAGAGACGTCTGAAATTTGGAAAATAATGTCAGCCAAGTTTGTTCTCCACAATTCCTTCGTAAGTCCGTATTGCCTCCTCTCTCTGGGACCACAGTGCCATTCATAAGCACTGCAGGAATTGTCATGTCTATTTCAACAATCACCGTGTCATAGAACCTTGAACTAAACACGTCATTCTCTCCAGTTTCCATGTCACTTATTAGACCTTGAAATTTATCAGCTCATCCTTTGACATTGTAAAGAGATGCTAAAAATGATAAGAAGAATTACAGCTTGTAGCTATAAGACAATTTGGTGCTGTTTAATACAATATTTTAGAAAATAAAGTGTTTATAGATAAACACACAGCCTCCTTCTCGGTCGAGTGCAAATGGAATACCCATAATGCCAACTGCACTTTTATTCTTCCTCGGCAGATACGTTGATTTTTACGTTCCTGTCCATGTACTACAAAGAGTGGTAAAATAAAGCGATCCTATTTTATTCTCACTGTTTCATAAACTCTTCAGGAATAAATAATCAGCATGCACTAAGAATTGTAGTAACTTAATTAACTTTAAAATTAAATGTATCTCCCAGCCCCAATTCCTCTCTAAAAACTGATACTAACAAGTAAACTTCCATAGGGAGGCAGCTGCTGTTGTACATACTTGAAAAGTGGAGGTATGCACATTCCTCATGACAAAGATGCTTGCAGCCCATGCATAAAATATAACTTTCTAGGATTTGAAAATAACTGGGGCAGGA